TACACCTAGCCACATCCATGGTGTCTCATATTTGTATTTAAGCAAAACAAAGACGTCTAAAAAAGAGCCTGCATGAAAAAATTAAGACACTCCCTGAGGGCACTGCAATGCCATCAGGTCCCAAATGCTTCACATCCATGCTCCAAAAATGTGTTCCATATTAAATTCCATGGGCTGATTCACTCATCTTGAAGCCTTGTAGGCAGTCATAGATCATACCACAAAACAAGAAACACATTTAAAAGATATTTTTAGAAATTAAGGAAATGGAAAAAAATCCTTGTTGGAGTTAAATAATTTGGCAATTCCTACGTAAAATTACTAGTATGACCACCTGAAAGATGACAGCTTCAGTTACAACTTATCCTAACTAAAATAAACAGACATGAGCTTCATCCCCAAAACAGACACACACTACTTCTATTAAACCTCAAGTTTCTGGAGCCTAATACACAGCTATGGGGTGCCTCACTATCGTAACACAGAATAAAAGCAAACAAAACAAAAACAAACAAAAAAAAGGCAAAATGTGGTGTTATAAAACACAAAAGTCAAGAGTACCAGAGGAGTAAGAACTGGTCCAACCCAGGGGACTGGCACCCCACGTCGATGATGGCTTGGTGTTTGTTAAGCCTGGAGGTGGTCTCGTAGGAGCAGTAGTGTTTCTGGGTACCTTCCATAGTTCATGGGATAGAGAGGCTTGTGTGTGAGAGATTGGGCCAGAGGACCACGTAGACTTGATGTCTGACAATTTACCTGCAACAGAAAAATAATACATTTGTGTATTTTTAGTTAGCAATAACTGTTAAACCACGTAGGATGCGTAATCATCAAGCTTCTGCATTGACTATATTCTTCATACGTTTCAGGAGAGAAAAGAATAGCATTCTGGACCATCCAGTAATATAAATCCTATATCCTTTGAACCTACTTACACTAGTATTTATATTTTCAAAGAATTTTGTATGTAATGAATATCACAACACCTGCTACATATACAGTTCCCTTTTTAAAATCTCCTACTATTGTGCTTTCTCATAAAAGACAATACATGAAAAAAGGACCAGAAAATGGACTTAAGTATTTGAAATCTAATTTCATCAAAATTATAATGAAACACTTCAAGATTGTCTCTCTCAAAGGTTTAACAGAACTTAACCACTTCTTCTTACACAACTCATTTTATCTAATATAAAGTAACCAGTATGTCCATATGTTCTTCTGATACATTATTAAAATTCCAAAGATCAAAGACCAACAAAAACTGTATTTCTGAATATTCAAAGTAACCGATACTCTTTTTTCCAAATGTCTTTGAGAAAAATGAAGTCTTCAGAAGATTAGACCATATCACAACCTGTCACTCTTTGTAACTTTTTACTGTTCTGTTTGTTATTTCCTTAATCAGTTTTTAAACCATCTTACTACTGTTCCTGTCAAACCAGAGTTTTATAAAATAATACAAAAACCAAGAGTAACAAATACAGTTTAGCATTCAGAGTGGCAGACAAAATGGATTCAAATTACGGATACCAAAACAAACCCCTTTATTTACCTTTAGACTTACACATCCCTGCCTTTCTTCCTTGTACCAACCTATGTTATGAAATTAGAGTCCAGTTTCCTTGTCATAGCACAGTCCCCCCGTTACTAACATTAGCAGCACGTGTTTGACAGAACGGACTGAAATGGTCACATCACTGCATCTTCTGCCAGAGCAAATGATATTGTGATTATGCTGCCTTAATGCTTTAATGTTGATTGCAGACAGTAAGAAAATACTTGGTCTGACAAAGTCCAAGATGCAAAAATCTTGTCTTTTTTTTTTTTAAAAACCATATTTGAACTGGCAGATTAAGCTTATATCGAACCAGGGCTTTGCATCAGGCAGCCACTGAGGTTCTTTTATTAGTCCTAAAGCCAAATTTACCACTCGCCAAATCACAGCCCCAGTTACATACACAGACTCCCCAAATTGCCTCTATTTATTTATATAATTTAACTCAAAAATTTTATACCGATCATAACAATTTAAATGAAAGGGCAACCACTCTCCCATCTTCTTGCAAACTGTAGCAACAAAAATAATTTGACAATGATGATGAAGACATTAACAAGGGTAAAATGGTGGGGGGAAAGGGAGAAGGTCTGAGTTTTAGAACTCAGAGCAGCTCAGCCTGCAACGTAGCACATGATACATGCACATTACCACAGATTAGATGTTGCTATGTCACTACTTCTCATAGGGTTAACACAAAGATTAGATAGCACTGCAAAAAAATAAAAAGCAAATAAAGCAGAAACGCATGGCAGATAAAAGAAAAGCAAGCCATCCCCTTCTTTTCCTTTCATTGGAATAAAATATTTCAAACAACCCCTTTTTGGTTTGCATTCTACAGTATGACCTGGAGGTTGCACCTTCCTTTATTCAAAGTGGAGGGTTTTCATTGATTAGATATGAAAATGCTAATACAATCCATACACCACCAACAACACATTTTTATAATGGGACAAACTGGATATTTAGGTAGCCAGTTCGCAAGCAAAGTTTCCATGATTTGCAGAGAGAGATGTTCCAGAATTTATAGCTCATTAAAAAGAACAGGTTAGTTATTTAGACCATCTACAAGCTCAGTCTTACAGGGGAGGCATCAGGCTTTGGATTGACTAGTAAGACATTTAAGAGCCCCAAACCCAATACCTCCACAGCCATGCAGAGTACCTCCTTGAGGTACTACTAAACTTCTTCCTGAGCTGAAGATGGTTCACTTTTAACAGTGAGTTTATTAACAAAAATTTCTTATCAGCTCTTACTGGAAGGGTCTAGTAGGGGTGTTTCTACTGAGGTCCTAGACAATATTCCTCCTCAAAGTGGCAATGCAAATAGTCATTAAGAGATCTCAATGCCAATACAGAGTGACAGCACGTGGCACCAAGTGGAATAAATACAATTTTCCTTAGCACAATTCCAGGCATACCATCCAACGCTCACCACTCAAGAGCTGCCAGGAGAGCTGCCTACCTAGCACAGTACTAAAAAATACGCTTCTGTCTATAGTAGCACTACTGCAGTAACTGGGAAAGCACTTTCTAGGGCCTTTTCTCAGAATGCAGAAGGATGCAAAAGTAGAAAGGCCATTTTTCGTACCTGCAATGCTAGGTGCGGATGCAATGCTGCTGAAAGAGCTACTGTAGCCGGAGGCACTAAGCGGCCAGGCACTCGATGAAGGCAGCGTGGCATTCTGAGATGATGTTGGGGATGACCCTGCAGAACCAGCAGAGAAGCAACTAAGAAAGATGGGCATAATGATGTTTGGTGTGACATAAGCAAATCTATTATGTGCAAATACAAACCATGCAAGGCATTTTCCTTAATCAGCCTGGTCTCTGAAGTCTAGGAATGAAATGTTATAGAAAGCATGATAAAGTGAAGCAGAAGTCTTTAGTAGAAAAGAAAAGAAAGCTGGCACAGTAGCAAATGTACTAGCGCCTGTGCAGAAGATAAATTCTGCATTTCCTTTAAGATACATGACTCTCAAAAAAATCAGTGTTAAACTGTTTAGTCTCAAGGAACAGGCCTCATTTATAAAGGCGCTCTGCCAGCTGACTTAAGCAATGGCAACTGTAGATGAACATAAATGTATATGATAAACTAACCTCTTACCATGGGTGATTTGTCCTAAATTACTCGAGGTAAGCACTTCGCCTACATCCTAATGCCCACAAACGTCTTTAGATTTTTGCAGACTTTCAGTAAGGCAAGGATATATTTTAGCAATCTCGTCTCAAACTGATAACATTAAATGAAATAGCCTGAAACCATCTTGGTAAATCATTTACAACCTGAGGAGCTATATAAGCATACATACAATTTCCTTACTGGCAGCAAATGAAAGAAACTGAACACAAAATAAAATATCTTCATTATAAAGACCAGAAGAGCTGGAAGTATTCTCTCTAGCCACCAACAAAATTAAGTGTGTGTACTAGGTGACTTATCATTCCTGACATACACAGATGGACTGTGATACTGAAACATCTTTAACTGACTAATAAAAATAGGTGAGTTCTTTGGAAAAGAGCGCTGTAGTGAGGTAGAAGGGAGGAAGTAAAAGGACAATCTCATCCCTCACAGCTCAATTAAAAACACAGGCTACATTTTCAACTAGAACAGCAACCAACCAAACTTCACCTTACCCAGACTCACTGTGCTCCAAAGGACACCAATACAGACATCAAGTCTCAAGCAAAATAACTCTGTACCAAGGCCTTCTCTGGACAGAATCTATTCCCCAGGCAGGAGTGAGGGAATTATATCAGATTCAAAGGCCCATATGCCCACAGAGCTGAAACCGTTCCTGATTCCAGGTGGCTAAGACTTTCAGCTCATAGTAGCTGACCCTGCAAAGCTTCATTAGCAAACAGGGTAAAACAAAAATCAACCCAAAAGCTTAGGTTTTATCTGTTTCTAAGCATACAGCGCAAGGACAGTATACACCACAGTCTAGCCCTCTAAATGGAGATCAGCTCTGTTAATACAATCTGTGTACTTCAAGCTGCAGTACTCAAAGACCGTCTCTTCCTGGCAGCATGTCATGAAAGCCCCAATCTCCTGCGGAGGGGTACTGACAATAACAGATAATTTTACTTAGGAGCAAACACCTAGGTTATACAAGCATAAAGAAACAGATTCAGCAATTACATTTTTTATTAGAATTGTATTAACAAGCTTAAAAGCTAATGAGGAAAGAAAGCATACATGGACCCCAACAGTCACTGCTTTTCAGAAGGTTTTGGCTCTTGAGGGCCTGTTTACTTCTGTAAAGATCATCTATACTGACCCTCTCTAAGTAGCGTAATTATTTCTTCATTTCACAGGCAGATTATACACCAACAGAGCTAATGTATACTTTCCTTCTATAAAGAAGGAAGACCTGTAGTAGATATCATCTAACTTACAGGTATAGCTCTGCAGGGCTAGGCTTCTGGCCTGAAGGGATTATTTCTTGGGTGCACCATATCTGAACTGTGACTGAATTATGTCTTTATACTTTTCCTAACTTCAAACCATCCAGGTTGCCCACCCCTTGAAGTACATTTGGGTCATGAGAAGTTAATTCAGCATCATCCATGCACACAAATACTTCACGTTTCAGCTTTTAAATAAATATTGCTTTCTGGTAAAGAGACAACTAAAATCATTCAAGCCAGTGAAAACCCCTGCCTCCTTTCCCTCATGTTTCACATCCCTTTGCCTTGAGTTAACAAGCCCAGAGCTGCAAACCCATTTCAAGGATAGTACCGATTTACAATCTGTGCAGATATCACAGATGTAACTGCTAGAACAAAATCCACATTTTTAATCCTGACAGGTCCTTCCTGACAACCCGATTATACTATTCTTGTGCATATTAGAGTGCTCTAACAGAGCACAGATAACTTGCCTATCTCGGCACACTGATCACAATTGAACCAAGCCACCTTTCCCTTGATCCACTTTCAGTACATCTAGTTAACGAGCAGCACAGCAGCCCCAATGGTTTATTGTTTTAGAGTGTACCCTTTTAATTCTGGAGTAAGCACTGCCAAGACAAAAGGAATGGAAATGGCACCGGGAAATACTAGTTTACTAGCCAATTCCCTATTTTTTCTTTTCTTTGATGGTTTTGGGGATAAAACAGCTCTAATTTATTTTGCTGATTGATCTTCTAACAAAGCTAGAATTAACTAGTGTGACAGAAGCCTGCTGCCTCAGCAACAACTGTGGAACTTTTGTATTGTGTCTTCTGAGTATTTCACAAAGTGTATGTAAGAGGTTGGTCAGTATGGAGAGCGAGACCTTGTTCAAAACAAAGTGTTACAGGTCACAAAAACTTCCAGTGACCACAGAAGTTTATATCACGTCTCACAGCCTTTTCCAATATAAAAATATTTACATTCCCATGGAAAACCAGAAACTTCTTGGTCCCATATTTAAATCCAAGTATTTCTGGATTTTCAGTGAAAGTTCAGAACAGAAGCATTATTAGACTAGGATTACCTGCAAAAATATACTACATCCATAATATATGAAGTCAACTTTTTTGGAAAGAAAGTATACACAGATGTGAAAGTAATTTGTGTGTTTACCTCCACTCTTGAGAAGATAGCGATTAACATCCTGTATCGTGGTGTTTATGGTAGGCCCAGTTGGAACACTTCCAGGAGTAACATCAGGGTCATTTTCAGGATCAATATTCTGCAGTCCTTTCCATGGCACTCCTGGATGAAATTCTGTTTCAAATATAATAAAAAGAAGAGTATATAAAGTCATAATTCTCCACAGTTCCTGGGTATCAGAAGGCATGAGGATTCAATAAATAAAACCAACAATATGCTTTAAGGACTTCAATTTAACATGAATGCTTTGTATTTTGTTACCTGGTGGCCAGTTTATGCTGGAGCCATTGGAAATTTTATCACTATCGGTTTTGGCACGTGACCAGCTGTGAGGAACAGCTACAGGTGGACTGGCAGGCGATTCACTGTTTTGAATCAGATCATACCGGCCATAAGAGTCATCAATGGAGGACTTTCCCGGAGGACCAATACTTAAACCTCCAGGTATAGCACCTGTAATGAATGAAATGGAAAGGCTTTGTTTAGGAGTGGGACTAATTTGGGTATGGAATTTCATCGGCCCCTATATTTTGTTATTATTTTCTTTTTTCTTTCTCTATTACAATGATAAAAAAGAAAAATAAAATATAAACACAGTAAAGCAAGGCTTAACAGCCTCTGAAGCCTTACTAGGAATTGCAGCTGTGAGATACACTACTGGTACAATCTAGACATTCAAGTTAAAGAAACTCGCATTACATTACTGCCAAAAAGAGACTAAGTAATTCAAATCATTACACTGATGGTAAATAGGAATTCGCTGAGACAGAATACTAAGGAATATCACTGTAGGCAAGTCCTCTTCTCATCCTTCTCTAGATATTTATTGCTGACGGGATGGATGATTTGAAATGGCCATTCTCATGTTTCTACAAACTACCAAACAACAATTTGGCATAAGCAGTACAGCTACTTGCAGAATAAAAAACTATTGTAAAAGAAATAATTCATGCTGCTCATAATAAAATCCAGGATACAATAAAGTTAACAGAGCACCATGTTCTAACAGAATAAACTTGGTACAGGAAATAAAGGAATAAACGACGCAGGATACTGGAGGCATTAGGGATAAAGGTGTTCAAACAGATTAGCAATCACTTCTGGAAAAATATGAAGTTTGTGCTCCTAACTCCCAGGGTGGGTTAACTATGTAATCCATCATGCCTTTGTACAGGACTGGCTGTGAAAGGTTGATGATATTGGAAAAATTGTGGGAGAAAGCCAATGTAAAATTTTTTTGGATTGAAGGTATGCAGATCTGGAGTAAGGGGAAGCTTATGGGACTTGTTTTGCCAACGCTAATGGCTTGTTTTACTTGAACTCCATGTTCTGAGCAACAAAATTCAGCAAATGAAAAAAAATATTCCTACATTGCATGTAGGAAGTGATAGCTGCAAGAACTTCAATGCATTGCTGAATGCGACTGCAGAAATCATCTTAAAAATGTCACAGTCTCAAAGGGCACTCTGTACCAACCAATTATGAGCACTTACCGAAAATAGTAACATGCAAAAAAAATTACAATTGCAATATGACTCAAGTCTCAAAAAGCCAGGCTAACACAGGGATTAAATGCGACATACCGTGCTTGCTGGAGTTCTGGTCAAGCGAAGAAGCAGCACTAGACAGATTATCCATTGAGTTGGGGTGTGTCCACTGAGGAAGGCGAGACTGGGACTGAGAAGTGTCCTTCACTGACAAACCACCAGTAATGTCCATGTTATTTACATTCATGTTCGGGTTCAGTCCAGCTAAGGGGAAACAGGTCATTAGACATCCATAATATACAGGAGGATTAAAAGATGTGTTTAGAAATCCAGCTACAGAAATTATTAAACATTGATTTTTGGACATCTGTACGTATGTGTAGTAATTTACTACGCACATTTTTAACCTGCTGTCAAGAACTTTTGCTTTTATGGGAACACCAATATAACTCCCATGAATTCAGAAAATGTTAACATTTTGCTAAAAGGAAAAAAGAAAAAAGATGTAGGGATAATATTTTTAAAGCTGTCAGTATTTCTACTTACAGTCTCTCGACTTGTCTCAGAAAAGGCATTCTGGAAGAATGCACTGGAATGCTACGTTTAAACCAGTGAAGAATTTGCAGCATTCCATTGCTAAGCCAAAATATTCCTAATGTCTCACCAACACACCGCCATCATGTCTGCCATTTTATTTTGCTAACAACATTTTTAAAATCCCAAACAAAGCAACTAATTAAAAGGTCATACAAACAGCTACTATTCATCAGAGCAGGTATTGTACGATTTGGGCATGTATTTTGTGTACACAGAACAAAACCACTCAGACTATATTTAAGGAATAATTTTGACATGCCTCTGTGACACAAATCTGTGTCCTTTTTGATATATAATCCTGAGTGTTAGCAGATCACAGGAAGCTGAGATATAAGACCCTCTTAGACTTACTTAGGCCTTTAATTCATAAATTCCTTTGCCTTCTGATGCTCCCTGCTATAACTGCTCACCCTAGCAGTAAAAATTACCTTCTTAACTGCTGCATGGTAGATAAAGCTTGGCAATTCTATTGTACACAGCATAAAGAGAGTCACAAAGAGATTAAATTAATTCCTTTATGTCATAAATGAAGTCTGTAGCATACATCAAACAATCACAGAAAACAGGTCGGAAAGGTTGTTCTGTTCGCCCTGTCTCAAGGCCGAATCAATTATTTTGACATCAATCGTATCTGACCGATCTATGTCTAACCTACCACAAAATGACCAGTGAATATTTCAGAAACTTCCCAGATAATTTATTCCAGTACTCTACTCTGCTTAAAGCAAATAAGCGATCCTTAGTGTTTAACTAGATCTCCCTTTATGCAAGAAAAGTTTATTACCTCTTGCATTAGCTACATGCAAGAAAACTTCTTTGAAGCTACCTTTTACATTTTTCTAGATTCCTGCGTGTCTCTTAAGTCTTCTCTTTAGACTAAAGTGAGCAGAGGATTTCATTTTTTCCTTAGCAGTCATGTTTCTGAAACATCTAATCATCTGCACAACACTCCTTCTGCATTCCTTCAAACTTATCTGTATCTTTCTTGAAAGACATGGACCAAAATTGATGCCTTACCAGTGCTGGTTAGAGAGGAAAGATGACTTTGCATGACTTCCAGCTGATGTTCCTGTTTATCAATATGATGTTGGTGTATTTTACAACATGATGCTGTTAATATATATTTACTTCATAAACAGCAATATATGTGGATAGTTAATTAAGCAAATCTTCTGTTCTGGTATTGGTAGGCAGAGCACAGATGAGCAAATACAGCCCACTTGAACAGCTACCAGATAGGCATGTAGTACCATGATTTTGTTTAGGCGTTTCAACGTTATTTAATAAACACATCTTTTGTATTTCTGTATTTATTATATTGTACAGCAAAATACTTAGATGCTGAAATAATGAAATATAGTCCCTCTACCTTTTTCATACAGAACTGCTTTAATGAAGGACACTCACCAAGAGGGTAAGGAGCAAAGGTGTTCGGTGAAGACTGTTGCTCTTTGGTCTGCAGGTCAGGTAGGCCGGGAGCCTGGGGATGGGGTGAAAAGCTATCCATGGCTGATTTGCCTGCAGAGGGGTGCAAAGACAGATGTGGAGGGGGAGGCTGCTGCTTCATAAGCAGGGCCTGGGCCAGCTGGCGCTGGTGCTGCTGGATCTGCTGCTGCATGTTATTGATTGTACGTGCAACCTGGCAAGAAAAAGAATCAATAAATGCTCGATTGAACAAAAAGACACTAGATTTCTTGTGCCGTTCTCTACAGTGAAATAACACAATGGATCTCTTTACAAATAAAAATTGACTATATTACGGGTTGATGAGCTTTCCTCCAGTAACTGAATGCTGTGAAATAGCTTTATTACTCTAGCACTTTCCTTTTCAATACTCAAGCTATGCACTATATTACCATTTCTAAGGATGCTTTAGCTGCTTTGGTACAATGTAGTACAATCTCTTTAAGCTATTGAAACCACACTCTAATGGTGAGATTGGACTGGCAGGCAAACCTACTTGCTGCTCCTGTTGTCTCATGGGTCCGGAAACATTACGCTGAGCCTGTAACATCTGCTGCTGGATTTGTAAACGTTGGTACGCCTACAAGACAGAAATGAGAGGTCAGCGATCCCAACATACACAGTAAGTTGAACAAGCTTGCTTGAATTGCTCTGGTATGTTATAAAACAGAAAAGACAGAAACATTGCAGTTTTCTGAAAACAGTCAATGAAACAAAAGTAATAATCTTGTTACAAATGTATATTATAATACATTTGTTTAAGTCCAGTTTGTTGTTGTTTTTTTTAAACCAAACATGTCAATAAAAAAACCCTGATGAGTAAGTTTGTGAGCAGTAAGTGGTCATTAAAGATAAGAACCTTTTTTTTTTTCTGAAAAAATTGTAACACAAAGCAAAAATTAAAATAGAAGTCTATACTACTATACAAATAGGATAAATACCAATAGTTATTTTTTTTTTGTTTGGCCATTTTGAGTTCTGATAACACTTTGTATTTAGTTGTGCTGCTTTATTTCAGAAAAATCCCACAATTTTAATGTGGTTAGCTGTGCAGTAGATTTTTTTTTCAAGGTGTTTCTGTCAAACGTGTATTTAAAATACAAAGGAGTTCTGTACAGATATTTTTCAAGTAGCTAGGTACTGTTCCATTATTACCATGGCATGAGAGCAATGCTGTGCTCCTCAAAACTAGGAAACATAACCAGAAATCGATAAGTGTCAAACACCGTTACTAATAAAAGAGTTTGACTAGCACACTGAGATCAGCAACTAATCTAGTCTGTCATCCTCAATTTTATCTTTAAACCTAGCAAATACTTCCCGTTAGCAGTATCTTTTTAAAATACTCTTAAAATCCAATTAAATCTTTCCATACACACACATATATATGTAAAATTTGCAAATATAGCAGAAGTACACAACTCTTCAAAAACAAGTAGTTCTTATCACATGATGTGTTTAATATACATTCCATTAATTACAGGAAATTTACCCTACACTTTATTATTTAGTGAGGCAACTGAAGGAAGTTCTCCAGGTAACTCAGGTGACCAGCACTGCTGAGATTTCTCTTGTTATGTTGTGACACAAATTTCCCAGTTGGTCAATTAGTTGCATATGTTGGCATGTAATACACAGATTAGTGCTGTTTGAGAATATACTATGTTACTCATAGCAGTATGAAGACAACTGACTTTTTAGTTACACTAATGAGCTGTAAAGGATAATTATTCCACAAATGACTACTTACAAAGCCTGGGGCAAAACCCATGATGTTGTTTCTTTAAAAAGAAACTCTGCCAAAGAAATCAGCATCTGATTGTTTTAAAGACGTCATGTCCCTTTAAAAATTTAGTTAGCCATTCTCTTATTTTATAAATCTCGACGCCTTCAATTCTGATTTAGAGCTTATTTGCCATGTCTTTTAACTTACCAGCTGCAGCTGATAGAGCTGGTTCAACATCGTCATATGCTGAGGATTATTAATTGGCGAGGTTAACTGTGCAGGGCTGAGACCAATGTTTTTTGCTGCAAACTGCAAAAGCTGTGCTTGAACCTAAGAAAGAGCAGCATATTAAACATTGTACATTTACTTTTAGCACTGGCAACTGTGTAAGCCATTAATAAGAGCCACGAGACATCAGCTGGAAAATATTACTATTACCAGAAGTAGTACCATGAACTACCAAAAAAATTAACAACAGGCTCTAATACAAATCTTAATAACCATACTCAAACATCCATTTATCAAAAAAGAGCTGAAAACAAACTCCTCAGCTCTCTAGAAACACTACTTTTTGCAAAAAGGAACACGAGAACGTGCCCAACAGATAATGTACACAATATACATGCAAGACCACCTTACCCGTGTAACATGCTTACTGGCTAGGAAATAAATCAACACAGACACAGCCAGGCAACAGCAGCTGCAAAGCCTCAGGAGCATGACAGAATGCATATGGAGAGGAGAGTGCATATGGAAGAGTTCCAGGGAAAGGGAAAACTCATGACTGGAAGTGTCATCTAACCTGAGGGGATAGAAACTGAGGCACTTGAGCACGAAGACTAGGCTGGGATGAATTAAGAGGTTGCACTGGCGGTTGCTGCGGCTGTTGCATGGTCCTGGCTTGTGCTGCTCCGCTATTGCCAAACATACCCAGATTGCCACTCGGTATCTACAGCGGGACAAGAAAGATATTGGCATTTAAAGACATCACTCAACATATAACCTGAAAGTTACTTATCTGTGCAGTCTTTATCCTCAGTGACTATGACAGGCATGGTTAAAGAATCCAGTACGTACAGACTGTATTGACAAGCAGGTTTAGAATCAGGCATGGCAAAGATCGCCATGTACCCAACAACATCCCAAACCTCGAAAACTTTGTACAGATGCCTGAACAAAAGGTAGCTGAAGTTGAAGATCACTTTTGTAAGGATGCATAACCCCAGAGGGTCACAAGATGAACAATGAAAAGTACTTGCCAAAAATGTTTGTATTTGTGTAGCAAGGGACAGGAGAATGGAGTCATTAAACTCACAGCATCCCAATCCTTAAGTTATCTAGGCATTTTTTATACTTAGTCATTTTGCAGAGCTACTGATAATGGACATGCTGTTAAGTGCAGTCTCTGCTTCTGAAAGATACGCTTAACGGGCTGTAAGTGCCGGTAAGTATTGCCTTTAGAAAACTAACTTAAAAAGAATATACGAAATAAAAGCCACCACAGAATGATAGTTTTTCTGTGTTGTTATTTCTTATCTTTGCTGGAACTTCAATTTATATGGCAAAAATAACCTTTTCATAATCAACCGTAGTTTATGACCTCTCAGTCTCGTGGTGTTTATGAATCTTCCCCTTCATCTCCTTCCCTTTCTTTCCTTTTCTTTCCCTTTCAGCATGTTCTACCCAGGGGCCAAAACATCCCTTATGCCACAATGCTCTATTTGACCAGAGGCGCTAGACGCAGTTTCTTTCTTACCACCTGTCAAAGCTATGAACTGTCTTGATGCTTAAAGCAGGCATAAAAAAGCCCCATCACTTCTCACCCATCTCATCACTGAATAATTATGCCAGCCAGGAAAGACAAATTAGAGAAATGTCTCTGCCTTAGAGTCTGTGACAATTAGCAACGCCTCAAAAAAAGAAACCTCACATCAATCAAGGCAGAGCTATACCAGGGTTCAGTGGTATAAATCCGTAATACTACAGTCTCTTCTCAATGGATGCGTGTAATTAGCAGGCTAATTACAACTAAGCAGTTGTTTTATGTCCTATAACATGAAACGTTTACACAGCAGGTAGTTTCTCCACTGATATTTCACGTGAACAAAGATGTTGCACGCACTTTCAGTTTAAAGCACCGTTTCCCCTGGGGAAGTGACGGGCGCTAGCAGCGAGTCCCAGAGAGCTGAAATTCAACTTGGGATCTCCCCCAACAGCCTTACCTGTCTAGAAGAATTCAAGTTTTGCATGCCCAGCCCTGAGGCAATCCCGCCTAGGGTCTGATTAGGGAGTGCACTGTTTGAAAGGGGGAGCTTCAGGCTTGGTGAAGGCAAAAATGGTGAAGTAGTGGGCTCTTCCACTAGGCCGCCATCCTGATTGGAGAAAGAAAGGGTGAGCTGTGTGCGGTGCCCAGGAGCAAACAGCGCACAAAACAGTGTCCCATGGAAATATAAAAGGGCATGGATGAATAAAAATATTAAAAAAAAAAAGTATGAATAACAGGGAATGAAAAGTATGGAGTGAAGGGAGAAGAAAGAGAGAAATAGGATTAAGGTACTGTTTTTCTTTACTTTGTTGCACTTAATCCACAAATGCACAATCACTCTCACCCACCTCTCCAGAAGGAAAGGAGGGATTCTAGCAACCGATTGCAGAGCTATCATGCGGCCATCTCTTCCTCCCCCCTTAGATTTTCTTCTCTTTCCTCCACCAGATTGAAAGGTGGAAAGAGAAGAGATACAGCACATCTCAGGGAAGTCTTTTGTTCATTTGGTAAACTCTCAGCAGCGGAGCACAGACACACGACACACCGCTTTTGCTAACCCAGAAATTGGGAAAGGACAGATCAGCTTATTTGACACTGGCCTGTATTTGGTTCCACATCGTAGCTCTGCTTTTAAAAAAGCATTTTTGCATTAATCCCCTTTCCTAACTGAGACACATGAGCCGCTTTTAATATTCACATAGCACTGAGTTATTATTATCCACTATGAAACATTACACTCTAATGCACCCAATGAACACAAAAATACTTAAAAACAACAATGATAATGTTGTCTGTGTAGCCTTCCTAGGAAATCAATTAAGACACTGCCTGAACATCCCCCAGGAGGAGGCAGATTTTAGCAAGACATAAGGAGCCCCCTCTGATAACTGGGCTGTAAGAAACCATGGTTGAACATGGATACGATGCACAGAAGGCAGCCTCTGCGGGGGGGGGGGGCAAACAGCAAGTCAGAAAATAAATCATATAATCCCCAATCAAACAGGTAGATATCTAGCTAGTATTACAGTGGGGTACTGAGTTCTATCTCAAACTGTGCTTTGATGTCTGGGAAGCCTGCGGCAAGCATGATCAAATAACACTGTGTACAAAGTAGAGCTCCAAAAACAGGCAGAGTGAAAAATCTTTAATTTGCAGTGTGCTGGACTGGTGTTTTTCAAGCAATATATTCATTGCAAAGAAAGGCTTTTAAATAGATGAGGAGCTAGGTTATTTCAACCAATAAATTCAATGCCCCAGAAGATTGTGAGATACTGATAAACCTCCTTTGTTAAAAAAGCAGCCCAGTCCGCTAACCAGATACCCAAACAAATGACCTAATGCAGCAAGCACGCTCCGTAAATTTTATGTTCTAAGTTAATCCTGAAAAATGCATTTTCAACAGCTCTCCTTTGATGCAAAGAAAAAGTTTCTTTACTATCAGGCAAAGTGACACTTGACATGGCATCTGACTATCCTGAGGGGGACACTGACATTTTCTAATGATATCCCCAAGGCCTTTCAGCTCAAGATATTTTACATTCTACTGGACATCAGTCACACTCCACAAACAACTGCAGCTTGCATGACAGTAACAGGTTCAAGGATTTCTCCTTAGATCACAGACATATGTTTACAATTCTACCCTTCCCCCTTTAAAGTGAAAATAATTTCAAGCTTCGTGCATGCTCTCTCCTTCAGATGTCATTGTTTCCTATGTGAACAGACTCTTTGACCATGAAAGACCAATGCAATCCCTCCCTGCCCCCAAAATTTATTCAAGTCTTGTCTCATTGACATTATTTTTTCTCATTTTGGAAATAGGCAGTGCCAGGGACAGTGGAGGACAAGCCACATTGGAGACTCAGGCATCTAATTTCCAGAACAGGTGGACTCTTGCTGCAAGGCCACCTTCACAAGTGTGTATCTTGGCTGAACTGCAGCAAATGTCTTTTGTAGCAAGTTTATAAGACATTGTTCACATTCGCTTCGTTCTATTTTTTTTTAATTTGAACTTATTGTAAGGTGCCAACTGTGCTGCGCAAATCTGTGCTCTATTAGTGGAACTGAAATCAATTCATTTAACATAAAGCATTTTAGTCGGTCAACGTAAAGTAGTCCTCAGTCATTCTTAACCTAAACTAGGTGATACCTTTACTGCTGACAAGGTTTGCGACCCATTATTTTTCAGGCTCCTTTATGTAATAATTGTTTCCTGAAGAATAATCTTTTCTACCTAATCTTTCCTCTTCAGTGATCTTCTTACAAATTTTTGTTACATTTCTCCCTCAGGCTAATCAATTAAACAAATCCCCTACATCTGAATCATCAAAAGTCATGCTCAATCACTCCAGCACTGTGTTTAACTTTTTTGAAGGGACTTAACACAACTGTACAATGCTACTGGTAGCAGTATGTCCTCCTACAGTTATCCAACACAAAGCACCACACTGGTACTCAATATACACTCCTTTTAGGACTTTGGAAAGTCTCTTACAATAGTCTCATGTACCAAATATGACAGAATGCAAGTGACATTACTCGAAGATTTTTTAGCCCTGTGAGATATGGACAGTTTAGCAGAGGACTCCTGGACACTTTGGCAGTCACCTGCCAACAACTGCCACTTCATGAATCAAGATGTCCCAACAGATGGATGCGAGACTGACAAATTTGCCAGAGGTCTTTATACAAAGTCAGTTACAGAAGTAGTTAGTAGAAAATACACATTAATAACTTCTTAAAACAGAAAAACCTCTTCCAAAAGAGGAAGTTAAAGTAATAAAATCTCACCTCAAATATGACAGGCGTTAGGTACAGACAAAAGAAGCGTGCAGAAAATGCAATACTCCAAGAAGTACTCATCACTGGCATTTTTGATTATGAAAACACCAGACTATGAAAGAGGTTTCAAAATTTAGAAGTTCAGAAAAGAATCACTGGATCATATGAAGCCAAGGTGGAGGAAAGAAGAATTATTTAAAAGTCAACCTTAAAATTATAGTGATCATCATCTAATTGCAAGGCCTATGAAAGTGCTTCTGCATAATGATAAAATATCCCATTCATTATCCCAAAGACAAAGAGCAATCACACTCACCAGAGACAACTGGGATCAGAATGTGAAGGACGAGGTTGAAAAAAACCCAACAAACACTATGTTCGAATTAGAAACAAGGAAAAAATCTAGTCAGAATACTTTTGGAAGAACATGATTGCAGCCAACAAGCATCAAGACTTGTAGACCTGGATTTCTCAATAGTAGAGAAGAGGAGCTGATCAATGAATAAGACAGGACAGTGGTGAAAAGGAGGCTTAATTTGTAAAGCGAGAATTTCAGTCTCTCATATATGCTCAAGAATTTGGGAGGAAGTTTGGAACCAGCATTAGGGAAAAGGAAGACAGGACTCTCCGCTGGCAGCATGGAAGAAAGCATAAAAAGACAGAGGAGAGCAGGAGGGAAAACGAGTCTGCCATGGAACTAACAAAAGCCTTGCAGAAGGCAAGCTTGAGCTAATGCCAAAGCAGGCTGATGTTACTTCTCTTCAGAGAGCTGACCTGACTCTTGATCACATACATCTAATACAATGGTCCAGAGTTCAACACTTGCAATCTGATTGTGCTATAAAATTAAGTGAAGTCTCTGTATGGTTCAAGATTTTCAATTACGGGGTGGTCAGCGCAGATCAGCAAACCACCACATTTTTCTTCTGAGCTTAGAAGAACACTCGATAGGTGCAGTGAGAATACACACCAAACTTCAGTCCCAGTACTCAGGAGTGGTACCCAAGCCAAATCTCTACACTTTAAGAAAACATCTTTTGAAGCACTTTGGGCTTATTTCTGATATTTTTCAGGATGCTTCCAGGAAATTCTTATATGCTTTTCTTACAAATTTCATGGCTCCAGAAGACATCAGGTGACATCTTCAAGCAAACCTGATACCTAAGTACAGCATGCTCGCCACCAAGTATAAGATAACGTGGTTGAGATCATGTATCAGGGTACTGCTAGGCTGGATCTTTATTTCCTCAAAGCCACTGGATTTTCTCCCTTCTCCTTTTATGGTGCTACAGGGCAAGATAACATCCTGAAAAATAATACAATTAACAAAGCACTGAGTGCCAAAGATTGACTCAGTGTGACACAGAATAAAGAGTATCTGCACCAAGCACTGAGGAACAAGTGAAAGCAAACATTCAAAAGTGATGTTTAGTTGCACAGACCGTTACTAATCCAGAGAGAACAGGGAGTTCAACAGGTCCAGAAGCAAATGTCAGGGCTGGAAATTCTCTCTCCTCAAATGCATAAGGTTAAAAAAAAGAGTAAGTGCTGGCTTTACCTGTCAGAGAAAATGCAGGAGAAAAATCATGGAGACTCAACTCACGTAAGCTGAGAGAATCACCTGAGAAAGAGTGGTAGCAATGAGCACACTAACCCAGCTTACAATTTCATGAAGAGGAACCTCATGTAACTTATTGAAGACTCAGCAAAACCAAGCAAAAGGATAACCACTTGGTAAGACAGTAAGTAAAATAAGGAACATTGGCTGGAGCTCTTTGTGCAGCTGTGTGGAGAGCTGTTCACTGACCAAGGATGACCTGACCAGGAAGCAAGACAGCTCCAGGCTCATGCTCTGAAATAGTACCTCAAAGGGCAAAAAGGTTTTGGAGAAGAGGAATTGCTCTAGTAGTGTGAGCTGTATATCTGGAAAGAATCTCTTTGGGAAAAATATATTCCTAGAGTAGAAACTACATTTGTCTAATTCACTTAGCAAGTTGCTCAACACTCTGATAGCTAACAAATATAGTTTGGGATTATTTCCTTTGTTATAGTAAAGTCACTGTGACAGATTATGCCTAGACTGACAGATTTTACTTGCTGTATGAATATTAATGATTTTAGTACTCCCTTCTCAATAGCTGTGTTTAACATATGTTTCCATAATTAAGCATCATGCTGCACATAATGCACCTCTCTGTCTGGCAATAATTTTACTGCTCAAGATATTGTTACCTTAGAAAAGAAAAGGTTAACTGGCATGCATGCATTTATTTTGTGACCTTCATCAGGAGAGTGATCTTTCAATTAACATATTCATTAAAGTTTGCCATAAACCAATAGATTTGCCATAGTTAAGGATGAACTTTACATGGCAGGAAGAGAAAAATAAGGAAGTAGAGCCAAGCTGAGCCTTACACTGGAGGAAATACAGTTTAGTCTGGTTTAGGGAACAACAACATAGTGGACACCATATCATTCTGATATAAGTAGGGAGAAAGAAAAAATATTATTTCCCCCAAAAGCAGAAAAGCCATTTTCTAATACATAACCTTTGGAGGAAACTGCTGTGACGCAGCAGCGTGGCAGCATTTGAATTACAACAAGAACTTTTGGTATGTAAGGACACTCTAAAGCCAGTTTTATACAGATGCTAATTTTTCCTTATTAATATAAATAACCCATAATTAGGTAAGATGCATTTGTGTTTAATCAAATGAAGTTGTTTACACTTTGCATCATACTAGCACTAAAACTCAGCAAACTGTTTAGACTGTGATGACAGCAGAAATAGTAATAGTGGTCACTTAAAGGTCAGTGTTTATCAGATGTCCTAGCATAGAACCCAACGAGTTGGCCAGGCCCAAGGCGTTGTGATGAATGGAGGTAAATCCAGCTGGTGGTTGGTCACAAGTGGTGTTCCCCAGGGCTCAGTATTGGGGCCAGTTCTGTTGAATACCTTTATCAATGATCTGGATGAGGGGACTGAGTGCACCCTCAGTAAGTTTCCAGACAACACCAAGCTGGGTGGGAATGTTGATCTGCTCAAGGGTAGGAGGGCTCTACAGAGGGATCTGGACAGGCTGGACTGATGGGCCGAGGCCAACCCTACGAGGTTCAACAAGGCTGAGTGTCGGGTCCTGCACTTGGGTCACAACAACCCCATGCAATGCTACAGGCTTGAGGAAGAGTGGCTGGAAAGCTGCCTGGCCGAAAAGGACCTGGGGGTGGTGGTAGACAGCCGGCTGAACATGAGCCAGCAGTGTGCCCAGGTGGCCAAGAAGGCCAACAGCATCCTGGCTTGTGTCAGGAATAGTGTGGCCAGCAGGAGCAGGGAGGGGATTGTCCCCCTGTACTTGGCACTGGTGAGGCTGCACCTGGAATACTGTGTTCAGTTTTGGGCCCCTCAATACAAGAAAGACATTGAGGTGCTGGAGCGTGTCCAAAGAAGGGCAATGAAGCTGGTGAAGGGTCTGGAGCACAGGCCTTATGAGGAGCGGCTGAGAAAACTGGGGTTGTTCAGCCTGGAGAAGAGGATGCTGAGGGGAGACCTTCTTGCTCTCTACAACTACCTGAAAGGAGGTTGCAGCAAGGTGGGTGCTGGTCTCTTCTCCCAAGTAAAAAGCAATAGGACAAAAGGAAATGGCCTCAGTGTTGTCAGGGGAGGTTTAGATTGGATATTAGGAAAAATTTATTCATTGAAAGGGCTGTCAATTGTCAAGCACTGGAACAGGCTGCCCAGGGAAGTGGTTGAGTCCCCATCCCTGGAGGTATTTAAAAGACATGTAGATGTGGTGCTTAGGGACATGGTTTAGTGGTGGACTTGCCAGTGCAAGGTTAACAAGCTGGTCTTGATGATGTTAAAGGTCTTTTCCAACCTAAGCAGTTCTATGATTCCATAGCGCCATGCTAATTTTCTTAGTGCAACACCTGGGAACCCATCACAACTTTAAACATAACTTTAAGGGTAATGCTATAAAGACTATAAGAAAACTCAGGGTGAAGGACTGGAAAGACAATCATTATTCAGGGTCAGTAAAGTTTTTAATACAGTCTGTGTTAACAAGATCAGGTATCATGTAAAATGAATTGGTTTCAGCACAGTTTGTGAAAACTATTGATTTCTGCATTCAGAAACCACCATCCCTCATCATTATGAACATTTCAAATAACCCATGAAATAAAGAATGGTACCAGAGACTGTTCTTTCCTTATTAATAATTTTTGGGGAGATTCTGAGGTGATTTGGTGGGTCTCTTTGTAGGACTTTGTATCAGGTTGTAAATCTCATTTCCTACTTGAAAGATCTGGCTGCACTTT